CATTTTAGAGCGCAATTCATAAACATACCATTTTTAGGTCTGTAATAGGAACAATAATTTGGTAAAACTGTAACAGAACCTCACTCCATGCTCGATCTCGCCCAGAAAAACCCCTTCCTCGGATTCGACTGACGGTCAGTCAACTGCCTGTTCATTTTCACGCCAAACGAGAAGTGCCGTCTCAAAAACGGCTTTCTCGTCGAGCCACTTCTCGAACGATCAAACACAATCTCTCCACTGAGATCACTATCAACCACACGTACTTTCCTCGATTTTTTCCGAGCCTTCGAAGAATCCTTCTCGGACATCATCTTCAAGGCTCGTTTCTCCCCAAAGGTACAAACCGGGCAAGCAGGGTCGTACTTTTCTACCTCGGGAGTCATGTACTCTAGGCAATCCGAGTGGTACACGTGACCGCAGGTCAGAACAGAGACCACAGCAAGCTCGTTTGAGAAAATCATCAGCTTCTGTGAAGACCTTTCGGTCAAAAGCTGAGTACAAATACCGCACGTTTGAAGGTCTAAAGAGGTCGGGCCTGAGTGGGGCCCACTGAACCTTCCGAATCTGTCTCGGCTAAAGCCCGAGCCCTCGCTGTCAAAAGACCATCTTTCGCGACGTGTAGGCATCGACCAGCTGTCGGACGACCCACCTTGAGAGCCTCGAGTAGAGTCGTTACCCCAAGAAGGAGCTGCTGGCTCTTCGGATATCGAGAAGGAGGGCGATTTGGTAATTCTGCTGTCGGACACCTGGCGGAAGAGAGGGTGTCTCGGGGAAGAACGGTGGTAGTGCCATCTGGAAGGGGTTGAGGAGTTTGGCGGGAAAAGGAGATTGTGGTTACGAGAGGAGAGAGGGGATGCTGACTTGGAAGAGAGAGAAGGGATCGAGGGGGAGAGTTTCAGAGGGGGCGAATATGAGATGGATGGGGAATCTGTGGACTCGTTTATCTAAAAAGGTTGTGAGGAAGAGAAAAAAGTTGTTAGAGAATGAANAAAATGATTTATCTATGTGTTCACGTACCTCTGGAATATTCTGTGGAATTGCTTGATCTGCATTATTAAGAAATTAATAAATGGATGAGTAATGAATGCAAAACAAAAGGGAGTATAATACAGATATTCTATTTTTATGTGTAGAGAGTGAACAAGTCCTGATAATGTTGAATGCAATGCATCAGATATGGAACTTGATAAGTGGATTACCAACATTTCTAACTAATATGTTGAAGCAAAGACTGTGCTGTAACTGATAAATAAAGGAGAATGTCTTGAACCAGCATTTTCCGTAAACGAATAAACGATTCTCTTAGAGAGAATGGTCTTCGTAAGTGTAGATGCTGCTGCTTTTGTGAAAATAAAGGCTCGACACAGTTTTATGATTAATGCAATCTTAAAAAGTTCAGAATGCTAGAAAACAGATAATCTCCATCCATCAGTTTATACAAATTTGACAATGGGAAACCTCGTTCTGATTTACGAGTAATTAATGTGTTAGCTAAAAACAGCACACAACATATCTTCTTTTTCTCAGCCATGCTCATTCATCTTCACCTACAAATCTATTTTCTGGTGATTAGAAAACTTGGTTTACTAAAGAATCTAGAAGGCTGATGTTAGTGTTGCTAAATAACTATACATTTCAGTACCAGAATATAATTCAACATATAATCCTTTAAGAGAGATTTAACTAATAAATAGACACAGCAATAACTAAGAAAGTACATGCAATATGTTCCCTATTCACATCACCATCATGAATATAACAGGATTTCTGTGATGAAAGACTACCATTGTACTACTATGTCTCTCTCAATCAATTCATAGATCACTCAGAATAAAATGGCAAGAAACGATATAATTAAACATATAATCCTTATTAACATTTAACTAATACATAGACACAGCAATAACTAAGAAAGTACATGCAATATGTTACCCAATCACATCACCACATCATGAATACAACAGGATTTCTGTGATGAAAAACTACCATTGTACTACTATAGTACTATTTCTTTCCCAATTACTATACTTAACATTCATAGAGCATTATTCAGAAGAAAATGGCAAGAAAAGAATTGACAGCCAAAGACGAATTGATTACCAGAAGATTGGAGCCTTAGTGTTCCACTATTTCCTTCAGAATGTGCGGACTTGCGCCAAGTATTTGATGACCTAAACCCGTCTAACGGACTACCCTCCTCAGAAGCAAAGGCAGCTTCAACAGCTGCTCCGAATTTAACTCCCATCCTATTTTCCCCACACACTTCATCATTCGCCCAGTTAGAATGGGTCTCTTCACCAGCAACTCTTCCACGGTTATCCCATCTGAAACTCCAACTTGGTGAATAGTGTGTGTGCCTCTGCAAATTATCACCGGGTGACCCATTTGTGACAGTTCTACCCTTAGCAGCAACACAACAGGCAGCACCCATTCTTTCTTGCGTTCAGCAAAAAGAAGTGAAAAGAAACTGCTACTAATTGTAGCTTACATCAACAAACGTTGAAACAAATGTGATGGAGAGTAACAGCACATAAGATACCTACAGTCATAAAGAAACAAAGTTATCCAACCGAAAATTGAAACGTCAATATACTGGCACTTTTTCATCTATACGACACAGCTGAACCTTCTCAAACATAAAGTATTACCTACATGCTAGGACTTGGTAATATAAACTTTTAACACTAAGAGCCTCAACACATTCAGGTCAACAGATATGCATTATTTCTGTGAACCACAATCGTACTTAAATCTATCAAACAAGCACAATTAACCGTTTTCAACATTGCAAGCATTGCACATCATGGCAAACAAAAATTTAAAACGGTAAGATATACCTACCGCGAGCAAAACGAGTTCAACCACAAACAAATATATTCCCACAACAAACTTATTCCAACAGTAGCCAACATTAACAAAATGAATGTAAGCCCATCAACAACTAAACTCAATTACCAGTTAAATGAACAACACTCACAGGTGGTTCATTTTTTCCAAATCATTTGCACCTTCAGCTACCCGGAAACTACCCTTTCAACCAATTACATCAAAACCCGGATATCAACCGAATAAAATAAAATAACAGGGCACCCATATTAAACTGTAAAGTGAATAAATACTTAACCCCAAATAGCTCCATATTGATATTTGATAAAACAATAACTAGCAAAGGGTAAAACTAACACTCGAGTTTCGTTTCAGGTGCTATTTTTAGAAATTGACCAGTGCAAACACTAAAAACACGACGAGCCCAACACTGCAAACAATCAACAGAGATCCAAAACTCATGCCTAAACAATTGACGGAAACGTCAAACCAAAAAATCGCTGTTATATTTACCATCTCCAATCCAAATCATTTCAATCTTCAATTTTTTCCTTCACAATTCAACGAATAGAACAAAACCCAACCGAAACAAATAATAAAAAATCCAAATCATATTTCTTCTTCTTAGACTTACGTGATCCAGCGATATCCTTTCACCGCTCACAAACCCTAGAGAGAGGTGGAGAGAGAAAGTGTTATGTTGAGACTTGAGAGTCAGCAGCTTAAATGATTGACAAATGCGTGTGTATATATGTATTGTCAATATAATATATACGATTTGGTATGTTTTAGAGAGAGAAATTTGTGGTGAGAAGAGAGAAAAAAATGATTCTGATTCATTTCTACGTTGGAACTAAAAAAAATTAAGCAGGAAAGGTAGAGACGACTCATTTGACGGCGTTAGCTAACGCACGGCCCGGACAAGTGTCCACTGTCCACCTTCCCAAACTGCAGTGATTGCAATTTTCGTAACGGCGTCAACGTGCACATTGTAGTTTATACTTTATACTTGAATTTAAGGTTAATTGTGTTTGGTTAAATGTGTTTTTTTTGAGATTATCTCATACTAGTATGTTTTATACACGAATTCCATAAAGAGTTGTATTTCATCTAATTTGTTATATATTATACAAGAAAAATTTAATATACTCATGTGAGTTTCAAAAGGTTTTATGTGTTTTTTTTTAAATAAATTGTCAATCAATTTTGTCCAACAATATAATATACTCCCTCCTATTCTTAATTGCACAGTAATTAAGAATTTTATTTTTTGCTAATAATAACCCTATTTAATGAAGATAGAGATGAATGTTTTGAAAAAAAAATGAAGAGTGAATATGAAAATACATTATTATTTATTAAGTAAATGAGGGTAATAATGGAAAAAATATGTACAAAAGTTCCAAAACGTCATTTATTTGGTTAATAATTGATAAAGCCAAAATGATATTTAAAAAGAATAGGAAGTAGTATCAGTTAGTTAGTTTTTTATATATCAGTTATTAATTTATCAACAATTATACAACTTTTCAATTTAATGGACTAGATATATTATTTGTAGAGAGATAATTTTATTGCTAATTAACTTCTTTTTTCTAGCATACATGTCATTTAAAATTTTGCATAATAATGTTTAATTTGTAAAATTAATAAACTAATAGATCTTAATCCAATATAATCCAATTTTTAAACATAATGCACACAATTTAAAGTAGAATTGGAAAACATTACGTTGATTCTTGTAATGGTTGTATGGCTTTTAAATAGGTTGTTGCTAATTATAACCTAAATCTCTTCCCATCTTCTAATTTCGTGTAAGATCCAATTAAAGAAAGTTTTCAATTATGTGAAAAATGCAAACATATTTAAACATATGTGGTTAAATGAGTTGATGCAACAAAGCATAACTCTTGTGTGTAAAGTGAAAATTTAAGAAAATGTTCATTTACAGTCAATTTCAATTTTACAAAAGTGATCCCTCATAAACACTGTCCATCTCAAGTCAAGTACATAAAAATTGATACATTTCAAACAACTTTGCTACACTTTAATTATTATTTCATATTTCATTCTATTGGATAAATGATAAATGTATAAATATGATACTATTATATATATGTTTCTTCATTCAACACAATGAAACACCAAACGGAACAATAAAGTGGCATAGTAAATATCATTATGTTTCCAAACGAGCAACGAAATGTGTTTTTTCCTCACGTATTTCTTTTTTCTTAATTTCCGTAAAATATGCATTTCTATTTCTTCACTGAAAATATTTCATTCTCTGTTATTCTTTTAACAAATCATATAACAAATTTGTGTCTAACAATTTAGTCCATAACCATGCTCACTAGTTGTGTTATTAAAGGCCAAAAAATAAGGAGAGAAAGAAGAAAAAAGTATAAAGTGACTTAATTAAAAAATAAATATATAAGCAAGTAATTTTGATATTTTTTTATGACTAAGTGTGTATATAGATGAGTTCTCTACTTTTTACCTTTTTATTTTAATTTTTTATTGCCTAACAAATTAAAAACTTTCATCACGCCCAACTTTACCTAACTTTAATTGATCGGTTGCGTGGTTCTAGTACAAAAGGATATTTTTTTAAAGGTGTTCATTTAATATCTCTAGGAAAATTCATATGGCTAATTTTGTAAGTTAAAATAGCCAAATCAACAGCACTCGAGTCAATAATAATGGTTGGTCTTGATATATACATTCATGACAAATGCAATTCAAACCTACCTCTATTGTCAATTTTATTTGTTTAGGCAAATATAGAATAAAATCATGGGGAAATATTAAAAAAAATATATATATTGATGGGAAAAAGTGCACAAGTTTCAAAATTCAACTTATTCTCTTGAACCATCACTATCTACTCTCTCTCCTTGTCAAACTTATTATTGAAGAGTGAAGACAAAGAGAGATGGATGGCCCAAAAATAGAAGCATTGTAGATTTTGGGCCCCAATTACCCAGTTGTGACATATTGTCTGATAAACGAGCCCAAACGTAAGGATTATCGCTATGTACAGCACGCTTTGATCGATTGTACTAAATATTTACACGTGTTTATAAATTACTCGATACTAATACAATAGCATTTGATTAAAGATACTCTATAATTTGTATAAAAGGAGCAAAAGAATTTATATTCTTATTGTAAAATTGAAAAAACTAAATATACAAAAATAATATTATAAGGTAAAGGGTTTATATTACTATTTCGAAATTTTGTGAGATTTATTTTCACACAAATAATTGATTTCATATCACATTCATTATTCTCTAACTTTTTTTTTTTTTTTTCTTTCATGCTCTTAACAATATTATCAAAATGATTGATGATTAAATGAATAAGATTATTGACATATAATAAGGAAACCTTATAATTTATTACTGCAATTTCATGGTGGTTGAAATCGAGTATCAATCCAAATCATAGATTTGTGCCGCACCGTAATACTAAGTATTTGAATTTGTCACTTCTGTTCAACAAATTATGAAATATTATAGAAAATGGATTAATAAACTCTTTTTAAGAACGTAACCTCTAAAAAAAGTTGAAATTACATAGAAAAATAATTAGACTTTGAAGTTTAACAATGTGAAATTTAAACCGAATTAGCGGTACATAAACTTATGCTTTAATATCATCTTTACCTATTATACTATTTATGGGTTGTAATATTTCAGTCTTCCAAAACTTTCTTTATAAAAGAAAAACTATGTCAATTTTGTACTCCAATTCCCCTTGAACACCTCAAATTTGCTTGTTGAATCTCACTCCATCCATTTGTAAATAAGAGAACTAAAAATGTAGATAGAAGATTCTATAATAATATTAAGACTTTATGTTGTCATTTCAAATTTTCAATATGGACACCAAACTCTATATATGTATATATTGAGCTTTAACTTATATAGTAAATGGTTTTACTTTCTTAACAAAAATCTAATGTCTTTAAAAATAATGAAAATAAAAATATGAATTTGCATGCCATAAGTAAATTTATAATGTTCTTAAAAAGTATGATGGTCCGATCTAACTAACGGTTAGACAGTCTCAATACTAACGGTGAGTGTTTGTCATGATCACTTATTAATTTCCCAATTATCACATGACCAAAAATTACAATGCAAAACATTAATATAGATTCAATTAAATTGTCTAAGGTACGGTCAATATGTATGCAATAATGAAGGCTCAAATTTGACACATAATTATACAATACATATATATTCTGCATGAAAAACATTATATAACTTACAAAAACTCGTCAAAACCCGGCCCCATACATCTGCATATATACATATGCTCACATTGACAATATTTGTTTTTTACATGACTATTAATATTACGGACGTATTATACATATTGTATATAGCATATTTCCAACTAATTAAAAGATGATGAGATTATATATAGCATATATATATATATATATATATATATATTTATTTATTAATTGATTTAATTTGGAATAAGCTTGAAGGGAGGCTTGGACAGGGATGGACTAGGATCATATCTTCCATAATCGTTTGTTTTCACTTTGAGGAGTCTTTCATGGATTTCACTAACTTCATCATCGTGACGCATAGCTTCAGACAGTTGTTTTTCCTGAATCAAATTGTCGAAAATGTAATGTTGTCGAATTCAAATACGATCACAAAAGAAGTTTGTGCGTGTATAATTGAGTATTTTGTAAAAATTGCAAGCAATCATTAAAACAAGAACATAGTAGTCGTTATTAAAATAAAATGTAGAATTTTATTGAATAGTTATTTAATGCAAAAATTATACAATTGTGCATATGTCCTTCTATATGTACGTTGAAAGACATCGATTTTGCATCAAGAGACTTTTAAATTTGATTTTGTGGTTGATTACTATTAAATATCAGGTAGATCTTCTGTTGGGTTGTCTATCAGTCATACTCTTTCAACGGATACACATATTTATATAATTCAAATTTCATACTTTAAAAGACATTATATATATAAATTAAAGTATACTATTTTATAATAAGAATTTGCTTTTGTTTTTTTTTAAAGGAAATATGATTATGTAAGGGTTATGTTAAGTTATGCAGCTCAACTCTAGCATGTGATAAGTGTATTTCAAATTGAGGTCTTTAGGCCATTATGCAATTTTATCCTTTAAGAGATGTAAAGTGCACTACTTCGCTAAATTATCAAATATAATCAGGATCTTGTACGCAGTGACAATAATAACTATTATTGTTAAAAATTGATAATAATAGTCAACAGGCTTTAAAATACAGGGTTATTATCTATATCCGGTCAAATTAGACGAGTAAATTGTAAAATATAGCTAATATCTTTTTACGTGGTGACGAAAAATAGTCGTCGAATTTGATCGGCACAGATAATAAACCTCAAAATTATAAAAGTTGTTGGCTACCGTTGTTAGTTCGTAGAGATGATGACTATTATTGCCAAAGATACTGACTATATTTGCAATTAAACCACTAAGAGATAGTAATAAATAATAACAATGAATGAATCAAGGAAAGAAGGAATAAAATGACACTTTCAAGTTTCCTTTGGTTAAAATCAATTACAAATTGGCATATATACCTCATGATGGGTTGTACTCACTTCTTGTGATGCCACAGACCCTGAACCTGCTGTTTAAGCAAACAATTCAACCTTAAGAAAACATATTCTTTTTTTATTTTTTTTTTTCATTGTGAAACATGTACTTAACAGAAACAAACTCAGATAAAACAAATAATTACACTAAAACCATGTTAGAGAGACTAATTTTAGTGAAATGAGGAAACTAATTAACT